ATAAAGATTATTCGTTAATATTTCGTTTCATATAAATATATTTCACTAATATATATTAAAAAATACTAAAAATAGAAAATGAAGTTCATTAATAATAATAATTATATATAATTAACTATCTAATATAACACTTTACATAAAATTTTATTTATTTAATATATATAAGTATATTAAATATTAATATAAATCACAGGTAAAAATTTCCATTTAAATAAATAAAAATATATTTTTTTAGATATATATTTTTGAAATAAATTAAAATATATTTTTTAATATAAATTTATATTTTGTGATTTATATTTATATTTAATACTTATATATATTAAGTAAATAAAATTTTATGAACTACTATATTAGATAATATAATTAATAATAAATTATATATAATTATTATTATTAACAAAATATTTTTTAATATATATTCTCGAATATATTTATATTTAACGAAATATTAACAAAATATTCTTATAAACGAAATATTAACAAAGTACTTTTTATTTTTTTAATAATTTTTAATATATATTAACGAAATATAATTTTAAAAATATTTTATTAATATATAGTTAAGGAAATAGAACGAAATATATTTTTTTTTATTTTTGGATTTTTATTAATTTTTCTATTTTTTTATTTTTATTATTATTATAATTATTATTTTTTTGCTGATGTGTCTTTATATTTATTTAATTTTGGATTTTTTTATTTTATTTTTATTTATCTATGTGTAGTTGTGTATTTTGAGATAATGATGTCACATCACGCCACGTATATAACACGTATGAAACTAAAGAAAGTTATAATGCCACATCACTACCTAATCCGGCCACGCCAGCTTTTTTTATCCAGGTGGAGTGATTAATATATCTTTTCCGACCAAATCGCCAACTACATGTTTCTTTTCCGCAAGGAACAACAAAATATCTATTTTGTTGACAACGCTCAACTTGGTGTATCATTTTTTAAATTTTACCAGCATTCACCATTATATCATGTATTCATCTAATAACTTAATTTAAATAAGTTATTCATAATAAATATTTATTTTAACATGTTTTTTAGATCTATGCGTAATGTTAGAATAAACTAATACGTATGGTTATGTTAGCATAAACTAATACTGCTGCCTTATAAAACATAGTAATGACATATGTAGAGTTCATGATATTAAATATATTTAAGGTATCAAGTGATTGGAATATGGCTGACCGTAGTTGATGCTATATATTTTTAAATATATAGTAAAAGAATATTAATATATTTCCAAACAAAATGAATTGAGTAAGTTAACTTATAATTATTATTTTCCATTCCTAAAATTTACCAAAAATAATTGAATACGAATTTAGTTATGTTAATGTATTTTCTATAACTATTTGGCATTCTTAACAAAAATAATTAACCTTACAATTACAATTACCCAACCAAATGTAGAAATGTTGCCAATTATAGTCATTGCATATCATCTATATTTAGCAATAAATTCCATCAACTCCCTCTTTATATATATATAGATAGATATAATTTCAATAGATTATATTTACAAGTAGAATACATCCAATCCGATTGGAACGCCGGATATCCTACTCTAACAAACAAACAAAAAAAATACACGTGATTAATTACCTTCGACTTACAAAAAATTTATGGGTAGACGTAAATATTTAACAATTCTGTTTCAAGTTCCTTAAATAATACTATAACTATGTTGTTGAAATATAATCTGTTTTATGGGTGACGTAAATATGCTGTTTAAAGTTCCCTAAAACAATTTTTTTAAAAACTATGTTGTTTAAAGTTTTTTGAATATTAATATATTTAAAGTATACTCATGCTGTAATATATTAAAGTCAAAACAATGTTGGAGGCTTTTGAATTATCTAATTTCAAATTATCTAAATTAATTAATTTAAATATTTAATCCAATTAAATTTTCAATCCATTGAGTATTTTTACTAATCCCGTGAGCATGTTATTTTGTTATTGTAATCAATTTATACACTATTTTACTATTAAATTATTTAATATCTATGTACAATGGGGTCTTTAATAATATATGATTGTTTCTTTGTCGAATACTATTTGATTGTATAATCTTCATGCGTATTATAAAACTTTTATTGAATATTGCATCTTATAATATAATATTCTCCAAATAAATATATCCCGTGTCTCGCACAGGTCCCGTACTATATATATCACGTACATTTTTTTATTCATTTATATAATTATAAGGATGAATAAATAACCTTAAAATTGTGCACCCCGTACATCACACGGGCTCTGTACTAGTTTATATTTATAGTAAGTATATTTTTACATTAAATGATTATTTCGACTTAATCTACAAATTCATTATTTAACATTTACAATTGAGCCTCTTGATTAAAATTTTTAGATCCGTCGTTAGGTGGAAAAAATTTTATCGTACAACTTTCAAATGTCGGTCACTTTTTAGAGGTGAGCCAAAAATTTGTTACCAACTATTGAAAAAGTCCGAAAATAAACCCGGATGATGGTAACTGGGAATGGTCCATGTGGCACAGGTTCATTATATGAGACTACAATTCGAAAATGTGTCGTCCAGATGTAAATTGTAATGCAGGAATTTTGCTATGAATTTTTTTTGTAAAACCACTTGAAAAATACATGCACGAATTGCTAGATTTTTTCTTGTACGCATATACACGTGTTGAAATAGCAATTGCCAAGTGACTTTCGACAGATTAAATGGATGTTTTATATGGGTTTTGAGTGTTTGATCATCATAATTATGATTTGGCAAAATGTAGTTTGTTTAATTTGGTTCACAACCTTCTTCCTCGTTTCTCAATTACTTAATGATTGCAGATATATCTAACAGTGAAACACTTGTATATTTTAAGTAAACACACATACACACATATATATATAGGGAAGATTCTGTCTATGTGAGAATGTTAAAAAAATGCTCCTCCCACTCTCTAACTTTCTCTCTCTAGCCTATCCCCCCATCTCTTCCACCTTTCCAGCCTAAACTGGCCTACCAGCAGATTTCCGTCGCCGGCGTCCGCCATGGCCGGCGGCGAGCCGCTTGGTACCGAGCCGAGAGTCAGTACATCCATCCTTCCTCACCTTTCTCCCCCCTACCTCCCCCCATGGACAACCCTCCGATCATCCACTATCCGCAAACGACCATCTCTCTGCTCTCTACCGGCGAGATCAAAGGAAATTTTTTATCATGGACAAAAAACATCAAACACACCTTCAGATCTGTGGTCGACTCCTCTGTTCTATCACCTGCTTGGATGCGTCGGCCTTTAGCAGGTGGCCCTTTGGACCTCGGTAAGAACCGCGACGGCGCTCTTCATCCCTCTGACAGCCATATCACCGACATCCACCACCTGAGGCCGGTGCAATTTGGCTCTCCCGGCGCAATCCATCTCCTACCCGCCCGTTCCCTCTGAGCCCATGGCGACAGAAAACCCTCAGCTCACAGAAACCCTCCCCTCGGCTCAACTTTTGGGCCAATTTATTGGGCCAATACAAACTACTTTTAATGGGCCGCTACCTAGGTCTCCTATCAACCCTCAGCCCACAGACCCCCCCATGCACAGGACTTGCCCTCAGCTCAAAATTTGGGCCTTTTTAATGGGCCGCGACCATTTTCTCACAATGCTAAGCCCACTCCTCCCCAACCAACAGACCCTCCATTCTCTCGCACCAACCCATATCCCCAGTCAGGCCCCATTGCTATTCTTCTGACCCAGCTCACGGAGGAACCATCCCCAACTCAGGCGACATCGACCGACAACCTCCCCTCCGGCACCGGCGGCGGGACCGGGCACTCTCAAACAACCTTCTCCATCGCGTTGACTGCTCCTCCGCCGGGCACCTCCGCAAATGACCGGGCCCCCTCCTATGCCGAACCGGGGCGCGCCACAACCTCGGCCAACGCCGGAAAAGACTCCACTCCACCTTTTACGGACGGAACACTAGGCAACGGCCCATACTCGACGCTTGCATCTCCGCCGGAGAGAGACCATAGCGATCGGCCCCCATGGGAAAGCGCGGCCCGAGAGCCAAACTTGGTCATTCCTCCTCCACAACCGGCGAACCAGGGCCCCCGC